TACTTTCTTTATTTAGTTTATTAATTATTTTATGACATTTAAATAGAAGCTTATTTTATTAAAAACTTGTTTTATTTTTGTTAATTTTTTTTTTTTCTTCTTTTCATCTTACACGTTATCAGTTAAATTATTCGACTGGAAAGTCGCTTTTCAACTAGGAATGATCATTTCGCTCAGCTTCAGTAATTCTGTTATTATCGGGTTTTACCGAAAGTTTCCCGCCACCGCAAATATCGTCTCCGCAAACAGTTCGCGTTAGCGAGTTTAATCATATTTTCTCAAACGATTCATGGCATTTGAAAGAAAAAAGACTTTCTTTAGAACACTGTTGTGAAATATGTAAAAATATATCGTTATCATTAAGTACAAGGTGTTTGAAAATGAACTATCACCCTACCAGATTAGAACCATCATTTATTTCCAGTTCTGTTGCAAAATGTCAGCTACAGAATGTCACCAAATTGTGTGTAGAGCTTTAAGTACTAATATTGTATCATATGACACTGTGAAAGTCAGGTACCGAAAGTTCAAAAACAAGGACTATGACATTCAATAAGCATAACGCTCTGGTCGGCCGAGGTCCGTCTGTGAGCACTTATGACTCAATCAGATAAGGCCAGACGTGCTCGGGTCGACACTAATTTGCTTAAATATCAACGCAAGGCCAAAGTTCTGGACCAGATCGTCACTTGTAATGAAATGTGGATCTACTTCAACAATACAGACCGTAACGGGGGTTGGTCTGCGCCCGGTAACACCGTTGGCAGCGTCGCGAAGCGCAGTTTGACTAACAAAAAGATCATACTTTATATCTGGTGGTTGCATTCGCCAGCTGGACTCTGTACGGACACGAAAGGGATCTTTTGCCACACCCACTCTATAACCATAGCATTGCTCCTTCGGACTTCTACCTTTCTTCACACCTGCAGCTACATCTTGATGGTGCTAATTTCCATCCTGCACAGGACGCTGGAAATGAGGTTGATCTGTTTTTGGACTCGCGGTCACCGCATTTCTGGGCCGAAGGCTTTGAAAAACTACCAAAACGTTGACAGAAAATGATAGATTTGGGTGGTGATTACAACCCGCGCTAAAGGTACTGCTTTCATGTTTTTTAGTCCAAAGGGGCTTTGTCCCTGAAGGACTATTGTTTTTCGTTTTGCGATTTTGCGTTAAATCACTATAAACGGCGAATCACTTTTCAAACTGTTGCCACCAAATGTTAGAGTCCTTTATTATATTTGAAGAAATTAAACAATGAAAAATCTGCATAAATGTATGTATATTTCTCGCATTGTGATAAAAAAACGGTAAATATAGCCATCGAATTTTGAATGACGTAATCCTCTTACGAATATGGGCATGTGGAAGTCCAAATTTGAAATTTGGAATTTATTTTATTATCGATTTCATATTCTCTAAAACTAACGAATTTTTGAGTAACAAACTCAACGATTTAAAAGCGAGCAATGGCAACACTCTATGGGGGGGGGACCTTTTTATCTCCAGCGCGTTGAACTGTGTATAGGAAATTCTAAAGATATGCTCATTTAAAAATTATTTTGGACATTACTACTGAACTGAATTTATGGTTTAAGTGCAAAGATCATGATGTTTGATAAATAAAGGTAACACACAAAAACGTTAAAAAAACGCCCCTTTGGACGTAATTTAAAATCTAAAAACTTTCAGTTTTTTTTTTTTTTTTAATTTTATTTTATTAAGAACGTTTTTTGGCAGAAAACTTTCCTTACAACCAGATATTTACAATCTTACGATAAAATGTACTATTTCAAAATTTATACAGGGTGTATTAGTAACAAACTTTCAGGAGAGATAGAGTACACCTAAACGATGGGAAATCAAATAGCAATGCTTGGTCAGAAACGATTTCCTAGCTCGGTAATGACGACACTAAAATCAAGAACGAAAGGACGCGAACGGGGTGAGAAAACGTTTTTATTGTTCGAAATACAGCAAAAACAAACAAAAAAAAAAGCATAAGGAAACAACGAGCGTCGTCAAAGAAGGTGTTCGAAATTACGACCCGGACCGTGAAGCAGGAACTGTGCGTCATGCATCCTCTATGCGATCTTCCATTCGTGATGCAGATCTTCTATGCGCCGGAGAAGTGAGGCTTGCATCACGATCCAGGGTCGTAATTTCGAACGCCTTCTTTAATGACGATCGTTGTTTGTTTTTGTTCTTATTTGTTAGTTTCTGCTGTAATAAACATAATAAAACACGTTTAGTCTCACTGTTTGTGTCCTTCGTTTTTTGTGTTTCATGCGTTACTACCGCGCCAGGAAAGCGTTTCCGACCAGGCATTGCTATGCGATTTCCCATCGTATAGGTGTACTCTATCTCTTATGAAAGTTTGTCACCGCTGTACTGATACACACTGTATTAAAAATTTATGAATTTTATCTGCAATTAAGTACGCATGACAATTCGAAGACTGGCCGTGCAAGCCAGTCAAAAAAATTCTATTATTGCATTTAAGATTAACAAAAGAAAATTAATAGTAAATGCAAAATCTAGCTGTAAAGAAATAGAGAAAGAACTAGAATTTTAAAAATGCCAGTAAACATCTGTAATCGCTTAATTCTGTTTTGCAAGTAATTCTGTCTAGCAAAGGTTTTTTTTTTTTTTAAATGAAGAAAATTGCTGAAATAATAACTTTTTAATATTATCTTTTAAAAAATGGCAAAAGGTTGCTTTATATAATCTGTAAAAATTTGAAACCTTAACAGTAGATAACGTTTTAGATACTGATATTTAAATTAATGGTCGGAAAAATCGAACGGTTTTCAAAACCTCAGCAAAAAAACAGAAATTGTGTAAAACGTTTTATATAAATTTTCATTTAAAAGGTTGTTTCCGTTCTATCCCATGGAGTAAATAGTAAAATTCTGAGCTTTTTAGCTTTCGTAATGGAAGATACGTGTAAAAAAACGTTTCTACATTATATTTAAAAAATTCTAAATAGAACTTTGAAAACATCGCTTCACAGCATTTTGTAATCATCTATAAACACTATGGGTACAAATTTTAAGCTCAATAGCTTGTAGAGACATTAGTGTTTTTTGGGGGGAGAAGCAGGCAAGATGAAAAATTATCCCACGCCTTCGCCGGGAATCGAACCACGGACCTCTGGAACACCGGCCCAGCGCGCAGAATCGCTACACCACGACGGCACGCTAGGAATGCGGGAGAAATACCTTATAAGCTTATTATGAACAAACTGAAAAATTGACGAAAAAATTTGACCATAGCTTCAAACACCATGAGTGAGTTAAACAAAAGCCTATAATGTCTCCGTTTAACATTGCTTATTAAATAGTAAGGTACCTTCTGTTTACTATTTTTTAAAGTAGCTTAATAATTTTGGGTTCACTTTTCAATTTTCAGAACTGATGTTTTCTGAATTGATGTTTACTTAAAAAGTATTAAAATTCAAGTTTAATTAAAAAGGTTTCTTGAAAACATTCATTATAAGAATTTTAGCCTTATTTCTGTCTGCCATAAGTTTTGTTTTCTCACGTTTCAGTTTTAAAGACCTTTCCTGTTCCTGGAAAAGCAAAATGTCTTGAAATACTGACTGCTAAAATTCAAACCAACAAAATCGGCATACTTATCCTCCAGGACATAGGTGAATATTTTTTCCATTATTCACTATTTTTAAAACGACTAATATATCGCCTTATTCCTTTCCTACTCAGTCGATCATGTAAAATAGTATTTTATGTTGATTCTTTTCAGAAGAATATTATTTAAAACAAATAATAATAATAATTACCTTATAATTGAGTATATGTTTTGTTTCTATTTTATCTATATTATTTTGCCTCACTCTGAACTCTTCATTATGAAATTTTCTTTACGTATTATGATTCTCATAGTTTAATACCCCATCCCTTTTAAACAGAAGAATATCACTATCTTCTAAATTCTGAAAAGTAAACAGAATCAAAGAAAATGTAGAGTGTGAAGTGGACATTATGCCGCGAAATTTTGAATCATGTCGTGAATTTGTCGTGAAATCTTAGGTGCACCATTATACGGTGATCAGCCCTGAGAATATATAAATATTAAATTATTATAAATCGGAAACTGTAGCTTAGATTACCTACTAAAATGCAATTATGTGAAATACTACTAAGAGACAAGCTTTACAAATCTGGTGACCTTAGAAAAGTTATAAAGTTTCATACGAAATTTGATTCAGATTTTTTTTTTTTTTTTCGGTACGAACAGTTGTTTTATTCTTTGAATAACTGAAGTTTGAAGCAAATACAAGGTGCTGAAATTATGATTAATTTTTTTTTAATGTTCCAAAAGGACATTCCATGTAACAGTTAGGATTTAAGGAGAATGGTTGACGATATACTGCCTTTCGTGTCAGTTTCTTGTTAGTATTATTGAGTTAAATATTCAGCTTATCTAAAATCAAAACTTAAGGCTGAAGCTATGCGTAGAGCAATGTAATGCTTTTAAGCGAAAATATTGTCATTCAAAGTACACTATACTGATGCAAAATGAAATCTTAACATCAAAGAAGAAAACACTTCAGAGGAATAACATGTAGGCAAAGCGTTTGTCTAGGTAATACATTTATTTGTTTAATGATTCAAGGTCACAGGCTAAAGATGCGTGAGAAAAGTCATTTCAAATGTGAAACGGTGCTGCATTGATAACCACTGTAGTCACCACGATATTGAATTCTAGCATGCATTGTGTCGTACATTTGCCACATATCATTTGTGGGATGGAGTTACATACTTGCTGTACTTGGTCAGTCAAACCAGTAATAGTCCATGCTGGTTGTGGATGACGCTGGATTAGTCGTTCTATCATGTAACATACATACCGATAAAGATTAAATGATCTCACAAGCCAATGTAACATGTCGACACTCTGTAAACAACGTTGGGTGATAGCAGCGGTTTGGGAAAGAGCGTTATCCTGTTGAAAAGTACCTCCTGGAATATTACTCAAGAATGGCAGTACAACCGGTGCAACCACCAGTCTGGCTTTCAAATTTGCTATCAAAGGTGCGTGGGGGTAACAACGAGAGTGTTCCTGATGTCACAAAAAATTGTTACCCAGACAATAACTCCTGGTGTAAGTACAATGTGTAAATGCCAAGGACAACTTAGTCTCAAGCATTCATATGGCCTACATAAAATCAACATTCAGCCATCACTGGCACCAAGCCAGAAACGGCTCTCATCTTAGAATGTAACAGATCTCTACTGCACTCTCCAATGAGCTCTAGCTTGACACCCCCAAGTTACAAATGGAGGAGATTAGGAGTTAATGGTAGGATCGCTACAAGTCGCCTGGCTCTTAGTTTTCAATCAGGTAATTGATTTGTTAGAGTTCGTGAACAAGAGCACTAATGTCTGCTGAAGATCCAGTGCGATTAGTTACAGGCATGCGGCGAACACGGCAGTCTCCCCTTTGAGTGGTGGCACGTGTGCAGCCGGATTCGGCCTTCTTGAAAGAGTACTCTCGTGACCCCTGTTGCCAGCACGCATGCACTGTGGGAACGTGCCTGTTAAGTCTTTCTGCATTATCGCGAAAAGAAAGTGCATCTTCTCATAGCTATATCACAGGGCCTCGTTAAAACTCAGCAAGCTGCTGCTATTGCCTTCTTCGTCTCTTGACTCAAATCGGACTCACAATGTCCAGTCCGGAAGCGAAGCTTATAGAGTCTCACTCTCTCTGGTAGCGTAAAATGTAGACTCTACGTAGAAGACGAAGTAGTGAATACGCGCTATGTCTTTGAAGAATAAATACTGCAAAAGAAGGTTTTAAATAAACTTTTTATGTAAACTAAATTAAAACAAATGCACGCAATTGGTGCTCACAATTCACCACCACTTGTGGCTAACTATATTAACAGAAAATAAAAATGTAAAATGCACATTAAATTAAGATGGCTAACGACTGGCTCCTTAGCTTAACGCTAAATCTGCTGCACACAGCAAAGCCGACCCTAGAAATGTCACTACAAACTGAAAGGTGTCTAACACCGACTAGAGAGCTAAATCCAAACACGCAGCATAAACTCGTAACTAACTCCGCTACTAGTCTTCTCGAACTCTTAAATACGGAGCTTAAGCACGGCTTCTGAAACACGTTTAGATTAGCATACTACGTCATTAAAAATTTACATTCCGGCAGGAAACTGAAATCGGAAGGGAAAGGAAAGTAAAACTAAAAATAATCGGCTAGAATAAAATAAAGTCTTTGCAAGTTTACTTCGCGTATTTAAAGCAAACGTGATGTCCATCCTCGTAGTGACACTACAAGTGCCACACTTATTCCTTCTAGAGCGAAATTTCAGTAGCCGTCGTCTTTCAGATGTGCAAATATACTTCCTAATTTTCGTTTATTTAGTACTACTCCTTTTTGGTGTTGGGATTTCATTTTCCATTAGTGTATGCATATGTGTTAGATCAGATATTTAATTACATCAGGGTCTGAGTAAAAGAAAAAAATTATGTATTTTTTTAAATTGCAGATATAAAAGACTTCAGAATTATATCATTGCATTGCAATTAAAATATTAAATACTCCTCAAGAACCATTTTCACACATACTTAGGTAAACGTAATCAGATCGATTGATTAATTACGAGTCAAAGAATAATATGATTATTTAGGTTTTTGGAATGTTGCAATGCAAGCAAGGGCTGTCTGCCTAAGAGAAGGGAAGGGAAGTTTTCGTAGAGAGTTTTCTAAGCGAAACTAGCTCGTGTTTACTTCAGACGTTACGAAAACGAACCTTGAAACCACCCATTTGGCTAGGATTGAACCCAGGTCAAACATTCAGTACTCAGCGGTCTTGAGCACTGGACCAGCAATGAGATAAAACAATACGGTTTGTTGCAAACGTAATACTGATAATGGATGAGTGCACATAATTCTGGTGCTATAATTTTATTTAATGATTGTTTTTGTTATAATATGTAACATAATGAAGTAATAATTATGAACTTCTTTTGTTTTCACTCATGATGTTATATTTTACAGATTATTCTACAAATGACATTTTGATGTCTATTTTCGATAAAGGAATATCCTCCATTATTCTTGAAATTTCTGAAGAGACTTCAGATAGCATACTAAATATCACTGAAAAATGGAAATTATTAGGTGTCAAACACATTTTATTCATGCACTATGAAAATTCAAAGTTATTAGCTCTGTGGTCTAAGGTAAGAAATGTATTTTTGTTTAGTTTTAAGAAATAGAAACGAAATAGCAAAGAATTCTGTCCATTCAAATGCACTGTTATATATGTGTAACGATTAACAAATTTCACAGATAGTTGACAGAAACATCTTTATTTTTAGCATGTATTTTTCAGATATTAAACAAATACGCACTTAAACAAAAGAAAGTAGCTTACGTTACGTAAATTAGTGTCAATGGCTATTATTGCTTTGCAACTGCAACTTTCTGTGTGAGCGACGCATTTTAGAGTGTATCAGTACGAAAATTACCTGCAATGGTTCATCAGTTTTAGTATCGGTACTTTTAATAGATTTTGAGAAAATAAATAAGCTGCACATACGTGATTCTAGTATTTGTCGGCACAATGCTTGAGAAGAGTTATCTTGTTTGTTACCTGCTTAAGATATTGAAATGAAAACCGGAGATTTATGCCTGTTGTGTGTATAGGAAATATGAAAGTATAGGAAAAAAAAAGAATTACACTTTTTTGGTACAACCAGGGAAGTTGCTTTAAAGAACTGGAGATGCGAGTTCTTTTAGATTACTATTCTGTTTAAAATTCTCCTCATTTAGAGATTCTGTTGAAAGCAGACAAACAGTGGAAACATAGAACAAGCTTTAAAGGAAACAAAACCCGTGTTAATCATAACAATACTTATTTTTCCCCTGTAAAATGCGGCACATTTGAAACTAAAGTTTTGATAAAGAACAACCTTGGCAGAGAATTGTTAATTCTAAATTTTCTAACCGCAAGCCAGATTTCACAGGAAGTACAAAATTGTTAAATCTGAGTTCAAATTTTTCTCATGCACAAAATGTTCCATGTTACTCCTCTTCTCTTCTTCCAGATTCCTAGAATTCAATAGTTTTTAGTAAAGTTCAACATACTCTGTTTCATACACTCACTCTGTTTACATTGCACAATTAAAATTCAGCATACACCACATTCACTCTATTTAGCAATTTCATTCCGTGAGATGAAACATATCAGTTTTTGTGTTCAGCAGATTTCTACCACCTTACTTGACTAAAATATGTTAGTATTCAAGACAAGCAATACCTCAAAGACACCCTAAAACAACTACTGGTACCTTCTGCCATTAAATTTAAAATGCAGGGGATGCCGAGTGTACCAAATTCTAATAAGTGCTTCATTAAACTTTCAATACATATAATCATTCTACATACAATTACAAGTAATTTTCGTGTTACAGTTTCTACAAATTAACGTTTCCTTCTCTAAATTTTGAAGAAAATGCACAGTCTTGAACTCCCACTCACTGATGTCCAAATGTAATTTTAATAACTTTTAGTGCTAAGAATGTTATTCAGATTTAATAGAGAACTTTACACTTTGGATGCTGCTGAGTGGTTTCGGTATCTTTGATTATGACAAAGCACTCGAAGCCTATCTGCCTAACGGGAGGGATTCTTTCTAAGGGAAACTGGCTCATATACACGTTACACATTTGCTGCTGCGCGAGTTCCTTCCTGTTAGCTTACATGCTTTCATGTAGAAAATTGTCCCAGGTAGACCACTGGCTGATCTGTTGAATACGGATCCTTCGATGTGATCTCTCTCATTTGCTGCTTGTCTGGGAATAGTCATTTTGTGCCCACTGCTGATCTTATCTTCTCATGGTTTGTCGCTGGTGTGCCGCTTACTCTTTATCTTTGACGTGCTTTTCGGAAATTGCTGCGTTGTGTGTTGGAAGCTGGGATCCGGCTTCTTTTGTCCTCTTCTCCACTCCTTCGAACCTCTTTCTGGAATTCGTGATGTCAGGCGGCATGCTCTTATGCTTTTTTTTTTTTTGATGTTATTACCTGCTTGGCTTTTCGATTCCCATCTTTATCTAAACTCTTTTTTTCGGTTCCTCCGTATACAGCTATTTGCTTGACTTGTCGTTTATCCTTAGCATTTTTTATTGTTCCCAATGAAGGGACACGATTTCTCACACTATTTTCAGACTTTCCTTAGATTTATGTTGTTCTCAAATGTTTAACACTTATAAGAACACATGATCGTTATAACGCAAAGTTACAAATGCGTTCACTTTGACCGTGTATGCATTTTCAAGGTTTTTTCCTCGATATCACTATTTAAAAAATATCGTAAGGCAATAAAAAATTGAAGAACATTTAAATTAACAAACAAGGATTATTAAATGTGACTGATAATAATGTATTACAATTTTGAAGCTTTTACAAAAGTAGAAAACTTGTTGTTATCAAACAATGACATGTTATATACTGGTGTAATGCAAAGTTCACAAACTCCCTCAGTTCCTTTGCTCAACCAATGTTGCCAAAATCAGAATGCAAAAATATCCATCCGTCAAATTGACCGATGCGTACTTATAGGTTTCAACCGGATTTCTTCAAGGCTAGTACCTGTGATCTCTCTTAACAATGGCATACCACTCCTCTCATAAAACTGCTTAATGAAATATACCTTTTCAACACTTTCGCACCATTTCCTGCCCAGAAGTAGACCACTCAAGCTCGTATACTTTCAGTTACGCATGCAGCCTTCAACTTCGATAAAAGCTTAATTCAGCACGGGTTGCATTGCTAACCCTCACACATTTCCAACTGTCAACACCATTTTCCTCCATTTTTAAAGACCCATACATTTTTTAAACACAGAAAGAGAACAGGCGAAGACTAAGCACACGAAACACAAGGAGATTAACACATGCTGATACATATACTGTTCCCGGTGCCACTGAACCAGTGAAGATTCCTACAGGTCATTCAAACATGTGACATGTTTCAGTGTAGAGGCCACCTAGAATTTACAATAAGTTAGTAGTATGCCTCATGCGCTAGTTGTTTAGATAAGAAGCATTTCCATAAGTCCTCGGATCGTCGTGGAGCATCTGTGGGTTGGATAAGACAACATAGGTAGCTCTGTCACTGCCAACGGTTCACCGGCACCTCCACCTTTCTTCCGAGCTTCCAAATTATCGCAAGCACAGAACTGAACCTTTAATAAAGTTTAGATGGTTAAACAGTAATATGATTCTTTAGAGTAACAAATTAAATGCAATAGATATGACAGCTTCCTGGGAGTGTATCATATGCATAAAATCTTTTTGGCAAACAGTGCTAGAATCATATCTACTGTAGGTTGTGTTAAAGGATTACACAGTGTATATTTCATTGAAATCTTCTAACTTTTATCTGCTTCTTAAGGGCATTTCCAGCATAACTTAAGGGCTAAAGGTAATATTCAAGCATAACTAATGATAATTACAATGACTAATGCATTGTATTCATGAGCTATTCATGCGGATATGATGAGGCTCACGGAATGTTTAAACAGATATTCTTATCTCTTGAGTTGATAGCAATATCAGCAGTATAAGGTTGCTGCGGAGTTATTGCATTAGCAAATATATACATATTATAAGAGTAAATATATATATATATATATATATGTGTGTGTGTGTGTGTGTGTGTGTGTGTGTATCGCTAGATCTCAACAAAGGTTTAGTTTTTTATAACATATTTATTCTTAGTTTTTGGTATTAATTCATAAAATAGACCAATAGCTACGTTTTTATCTATCATGATTTTGTGTGTTTTTCTTATCAAAGGCTTCATGGTTTCTTTGACAGATTTTAAACTACCATCTATCTTCAACATCATTTCTAATGTATATATTGAAAAAATATTTTGTAAGAGTATCTATAAATCCTCATACAAAGCCAAGTTTTCATGTATCAGCTATAACGTTTCTTCTAGTATCCTTTAAATTTTTATGTCTGCTCATTAATTTTTGCAATAATCACAGCGTTTTGTATTGCGTTTACAGCGTTTACAAAACTTTTCTGATATACCCTAAGTAGAACGGCAATGTCGTAACGACGTTACAAACTCGTCGCGGATGTCGTTGCAAAAACGTTGCAATATGTCGTCTTCAAGACGTCCAGATGTTCGCGAAACTCCACTGTTTTGCAAGCGTTGCAAAGACGTCTTTATTTCGTCTTTGCAGAGGAGATTTTTGTCGCATAGACGTCGTTATTGCGTCTTTCTTAAGTTATGTTTCGGTTGTGAAAGCATCGTATCACGACGTCTTAAAGGCGCCTAAATGCTCGCAGAATTCGACCTTTTTGCAACAGTTGTGAAAACGTCGTTATTATGTCCTTGCGTTACATATTGATTTATGCAGAAAATTAAGCTTAATAATGAATGTATTTTTTTTCTTTTTTAAAATTTTGTATTGCTTGTATTTTTCTAAAGTTTAAATATTTTTTCAATTCCTGAAAACCAGAAGATAATACAATTTTTCCTCTTTATAATAAATATGCATAATTAATAATAGCCTTAATTATTTTCAGTATTTTAACTATATTTTTTAAATAACTTAAATTCTAAGTTACGATTATTTAAGATTTCGTCATTTCTTTTCTGAATTCTTTAGTACGTAAGTGAGTGTCATTATGAAAGTGGTTATTATAAATATATAACAATAATAGTAGGTTTTTAAGTAAATAAAACTCAAGCAGACAAATAAAGGTAAAGCTATGTATGTGGGTTAAAAAAAGAGCATTTTTGATTTTAACAGCATTATTACATTTTCTGTTAAGTCTCAGAGACAGCTTTGCAAAACTAGTCATATCATTTCAAAGATATTAAATTTATTACTGAATTCAATACAAAACACAAAATTCAATTATTTGCAATATAAAAAAAGTTTTAAACGATAATAGTTATCGATATACATTAGATAGTGATGATTGCAGTGAGTATCAGTATTAGTAGGGTACCCTTTATTTTTGATACAGCTTCACATCGACGGTCATTGAGCTGACAAAGGTTTTAAGATCTTCTTTCGTTTACATGATGCCAGGAAACAAATAGCCCCAATTAGTTCCTTTTATTTGATGGGCACCTCATTCGGCCAAAGTTTTCAAACGGAGCCACAAATTTTCGATAGAATTGAGGTCAGGACTGTTTCTGGCCATGACAGCATTTA